CTAATCAATAAATCCATAACATCTGGTTTATTTAAAAAACTTTGAATGGATTTCTTCATAGAAATAATATAACCAAAATCACCTGATCCATTTAATTCTACCCTTTGTGGCTCTTCATATTGAAAGAAATCTTTGCAACTCTTTATGAATTGATATTCATTTTCTGCTGTTCCTTCAATTGCACGAATTATTTGACCAATAATTTCTTCTATTTTGATTATTGGTACAACGGTTACTACTGTTGCATCTGGACCATGTTCTATATTTTTCATAATTTTAAGAACAACATTGAATTAAAGTGAAAAATTGGATGTAATTGATAAAATAATGTTTTGAGAAAGTAAATATTGTTCACGTAGTTCTAGAAGAAAACGTGTATAATATTTCTGAAATTTTCGCATATCAAATGATTCTTCATTATTCTCTAAAGTTGTTCTTGTAAATATTGGATAATCAACATCCATTGCATCATATTCAGTAGTTGATTGAAAATTCTCGTCGTTCTCATTGTCAATTATTTCACGTTCAAATGTACCATCATCAGCATAAGAAAATTGAAAACTATTATTTGAATCATCGTCAATAGAACAGATTATATGTTTTTTATCAGCAGATTTTGAAATAAGTTCTCGATGGTTTTTATAAATATGAGATTTGTAGCTTGGAAATGTTCTGTAGATAGAACCACATTCAGGATTTAATTCACATCGTACTTTGAATGATGGATCAGTGCCATGAAGAAAATTTATATGTGTATATAAAGAATCAAACGAGGAGTATGCAGGAGAATTAATACACAATTGACAGAAGTAATAATTTCCATTCATTTTATAGATTTAAATTAGAAAACCAAACACTAAAACAATACACTAATAACTATTTAAAAATATTTTAATAATTCAGAGGATTAAACAATCTGAAATAAGCGGCGTTGATGGTTCCACTTAGGATGTATGTGTATATTCATATAAGTAATACTATATTAATCAAAAAGAAACAAAATAAATTACCTTCAAAAGATTTAATAATATTTTCATCTTGAACGAAGGATTTTAACCATTGTAAAACACTTGCTGAATTCATGTTTATTGTTTTTCAAGTTGAATAAAATAAATAATAATGAAAATAAAGCCAGAGATTCAATCGGATTTGAGACGAGAAATGCGGGTTTTAATAAACACCAAGTTCAAACTAAAAAAAGAAAAATCAATTGATTGAAATATAATCTTACAAAGGAAGTTAAGTTATAGAACAAAGTTATTAAAAATATTGTACTGTATTTGACGTAACAATAAAGAGTTCTTCGAAAAAAGTAACTTCACTTCTACAATGAAAACAGCACTTATTTCAGTACTATATAATGGAAGTAAAAGCAGACGTAAATATATAACTCTATAGTCTAAAATAACATCAATAGATCTTATTCTTTGTATTGTATCAGTTATGGTTATGACATTGTATTAGCAAAAAGATATTGAAATTTTATATAAAGATTAAATGTAACAAACATAAGTTGTAGAATCAATGTACCTTTTTAATTGTTTGATGAGATTATTATTAATTAATAAGACTTTTATTGAAATTATGATTAACTTCGACTTAATTCTAAAACAAATGAAAATAGTATAGGTTAATAATAGAATTAAAATACCTTTATAATGGTGGATTACGATGACTATTTACTATTAAGTATTTTCAATAAATTTGTTATTTGTATTGATCTGCTTCTGAAATAAATAATAAGTGAACAAGTTCAATATATTGAATCAATAGAAAAGAAATTCATTTGTTCTTCAAATTTCAAATAAATAAAATACATGGACATTATCCATCGTCGATACTTATCGTCCGATAAACATATAATAAAGTATGGCGAAGATAAAGAAAGAGAACTAATAAAAAAAAGGTTCTGTCAAATACAGCCAGAACTATATCTGAAAAAATAGTTCTGTCAAATTTAGTCTAAACCATTTTAGAAAAAATGTTATTGTTCGTATGCTCGTACAGAATCTTTTCAGTTTGTTACCACGATGAAAGCCACTTTTCATCTGTTAATATTGAAAGACAGAATCTTATGGGGTTCTGTATTATTACGCAGAACCTTTCGACTCATTATAATCCGATAAATTTTTTTATATAGTTCAACATTTCTAGACAGAACCTTTTCGACTCATCATAATCCGACAAAATTTTTTATATAGTTTACAATTGCTGGACAGAATCTTTCGAGGTTCAGTATTATCTAGGAGAACCCTGTGGAATTTGACATAACTATAAACAGATCCTCTTGGAGTTCCGAGATCATTAGTCAGAACTTGTCTAGGTCCAGTAGCTACGGACATAACCTTTTTGTTTATCTAGGAACCTATAAGTCACTTTCCATAGTTTAGCACTTTCACACAGAACCCTTTATGGTTCTGTGTTTGTAACTCAGAACTTGGTCAGTTCAGCATTGTCTAATACAAATCTTTGTATGGTTTAACAATAACCTACAGAACCTTTTGAAGTTCCGTACCTGTAAGGCAGATCCTAGTGGGTTCATCATCCTCTAAGAAACAGCGTTGTAGGGTTTTGCACCAAAATCCAGAACCCCTTGTGGTTCTGAGTAGTTAGCAAGAACTTTTTATAGTTCAGCTTTATTGAGCTGAACCTTCATTGGTTTTTGTGATATTTTGCAGAACTTTAAATGGTTCTGAAAGTGATACAGAACCAAAAATAGTTCGGTAGACCTCCTTTTTTTTGCTGAGAAGAATAGTACCATTCATAATATCAATAATCAAGAGACTATCAGATTCATAAGGTTCGAGAAAAGTAAATCCTCTTTGGCAGTATCGAATAATTCGATTACAAATACTTTTCTCCCTGTTTGCATGCATTGTATAACAAATGAATGATTTTGTTACAACTGCTTGTAAAAAAGCAAATGTACACAACAGTTGAGAACCTATATAGAAACAGATCAAATTTTTCTTCTTGATTCTGATTTGTCTAACCCTTTAATGCGGCTTGAGTAATATCAAGATCACTTGAATAAAGAGCATAACTAACAGGATCTGTACCAACAGGAACATCTTTATAATTGAACTGTAATGTAAAATTGGAAGGTAGTATAATAATGTACACTCTAAGTAAAATAGGTGGTCTACTGAACTCCCAAAAAAGGTTTCGTCGTGACGAAATAGTCTCCAAACATGTTCCAAGTTTGAAAAACACAATAAAAAATTCTACGAAACCATTAAAGGATCTTCCCGTGTATCGAGGGGAAGAACCTTTACCTGCGAAACCTTTTTTAAAGCTCAGGACACCAAAAAAAGGTTTCGAGGAGAAATACGAAACCTTTAGAGTTTCATTTGAAACCATAATAGTTTCGTACTAAACCTCAATGTTCTTGTGTAGTTTCGTACTAAACCTCAATGTTCTTGTGTAGTTTAATACGAAACCATAAAAGTTTCGTATTTCTCCTCGAAACCTTTTTTTGGTGTCCTGAACTTAAAAAAAGGATTCGCAGGTAAAGGTTCTTCCCCTCGATACACGGGAAGATCCTTTAATGGTTTCGTAGAATTTTTTATTGTGTTTTTCAAACTTGGAACATGTTTAGAGACTATTTCGTCACGACGAAACCTTTTTTGGGAGTTCAGTAGACCACCTATTTTATTTAGAGTGTAAGGTGCAGGCAATTCAAACTTCAAGTAAAAGTTTTGTTTTGCTGTTTTTACCCTATCTGATAGAGTTTTGTCTCCTGATCACGAATATCTACTTTTTATCCTCAGCAAAATCTTCCTTCCGGTCGAAAAATCCAAAATACTTCAGAAGAGTCAGTTTTCGAGAAAAATACATCTTTTTACGAAATATGCAAAACTTTTATTTTTTCTTATGTTTTTGATTTTCCAACTATTTTTTCCTGATTCAGCATCATAAACTGAATCTAAAACCGTTTTCCGATCGACTCTAGCGTCAAAATTGTGTTGGTGGTGGTACTTCAAACTACACTGATTTTACCACGTAGAGGCTGTTTTTGTAAACCTATCTAGTTTTTCTGTGTAAGTGATAAAGACGATTATTTTATCTCATTCGACTCGTCATACCATCGGTCAAAAAGTTACGAATCGTTTTTTTTAAAATTCCTTTTCTGTGTTGCGAAAACCCGGTTTCACTGGAACCACAGCTATTT